ACCTTAATGCACATACCTTTTTTTAATATCTAACATGCATTTACTATATATTAGGTTCATATTATAAATAAACAAATAAGAATTCGAAAGTCGTCCTTCTAAGAACCACCCTAATGCACATACCTTTTATTTACATCTAGCATCCATTTGCTATATATTATATTCATATCATAAATAAATAAACGGTGCAGTGTACATATATTACAGTTTGTGGTCGACGAGCTTCTTCGGAAAATCCCGGAAAAGCACTCCCGGAGCGTACGTTTGGCTCGCGCGCTGCATCCGCCCCGCGTATGAGTGACGAGGTGCACCGAGGTGCGCGATCGAAGCCCGACCGTATCGAGAAATCTTTTTTGCCGCTGGATGCCCGCGCGAATCGGCTCGCCTTGTTTCGTACATACATCCGCGTATTTTCGGATGGTTTTCTCCTCTATCCGTGGAACAAAACGAGAGAGAGATAGAGAGAGAGAGAGAGCCTGTCCCATCCTTCCCCACGCTCCCTCTTTTCACCCGCTTCCAGTGTCCCTTATCCTCTCTCTCTCTCTCGCTCTCTCTGTGTGCCTCTGCTAGTTCCTCGGCAGCGTTCGCACGTCTCTGCGGAACGGGAGGCAACGGACCAGCGTTTAATGTAAATCGCCACGCACGGACCGCGCGCGCGAAAGCGAGAGGGATGCTCTTGAGCGCGAGGGGGTCGGCGCGGGGCAAAGTTACGTGCGAGAGAGGGGGAGGGGTGGGTGGGTACGTGGAACATACATATGTAATAGGTAAATGTGTACCCACGCCCGCGTCCCTCGGACCCGTTGCTGCTCTCTTTCTCGCTCCCTCGTCCCTTCCCAACGATGTTGTTCACTGTGTCGAGCACGCTTCCACCCGCGCCTCTTTCTCCGGATACTTCTATCCCGGTTCGACGGTCGGTCGACTCTCTTTTTCGATCCAGCCTCGTCTCTGTCGCGCCACACGTCTTTTCTATAGCTCCAGCTCTTTTCACTGCTGACTCGCGCGATTGTCGACGCCGAAGTCAAAACCGAAGTCAACCGATCGAACCTATTGATCGGTTTCGTTAAGGAGCTGTGTACGCCTAGAATGAACGAAAGTACGGTCAACTTTTGGAATTTTTGCGGCTGGGTCTCGATAGGGAAAAATCATTGTATCGATCGAGTACAGAACGGGTATTGTTCGAGTATTTTAAGTAGGTTTTTGTACGCTGCGAATGGCTCTTTGATGTTTCTGAGTGATGCATGCACGTCACGCGTTTCGTTAGTGTAATAGTTTTTAATATTGACAGTATGGGTATGCTTCGCTTTGTTTTAAGAAGTAGATAACTTTTCATTGCTTAGCTATTATATATATTAGGTGGACTGGAAAGCAATGTCGTTTTTGCGATTTTAAATACTTGTTTATCATTTATCAGCTGATTGATTTTTCTGGCATTGAAAATTTGCACACATATTAGGTTGACCCGAAAGTTTCTTTCGCGAGTTGCACTCAAGTATTTTATGTGGTCGTGTTTAATTACATAGATATTCATGTTGTAACAGTAATGGAGCAAAATGAATCGTGCACAATTCAGTAATGTAACATAAAACATAAGATATTGTACATGTATTACTTATTAATAAAGCGAAAGAAATTTTTAGAACAACCTAATATAATGAATTAAAGATAGAAATTTATTGGAAAGTTTGAATTTAATGTAAAAGAAACGAGATTACTTTTCGGTCTACCTAATATTTCGTTTTATAAATGTTTCTCATTTGAATAAATGTTTCCTAAATTCATTTTTCTTACATACTTTCTTCTTCTGTTATGACAATTGCATCATTTACACAGATTTCCTCACAGTATCGCACGGGACAAGCTTACACACGTATTATTCAAAGGTAAATACGTGAACAATTGAACATTCTTGCAGGATTCTTTTTTATGCTTAATATTATCCGAGTACCAAGACCCGATATTTAGCTAAAAGTACGATACAGCCAAGTATTAGCTGCCTGTATCGATAAAACAATTAATACATAATTGATACATATAATGCATTCGCATAATATGGAATTCTGAAACAGCATTCCAAATTATGCTGTATTTTGCATAATAAGGAATTTCATATTATACAAAATACAACACACGAAACTCTGAATATCTGTGTTACTTCATTTAAATGGACTAATTACAGTAAAAGAATAGGTAGAAAAATATTTGTTCGACTCTGTTATAAAAGAGAGACACGTAAGTTATTATTGAAACAACAGTAATAAATAATACAGAGAAATAGCTTGGTATATAATATAACTTCACAAAACGAACGAAAATATGTTAAATATAATAAAAAAAATTATCTTCTACAAAATACAATGTTTAAAAGTAAAAATGTTACAATATGGTTATTCACTATTTTGAAAGTATTTTCGCAGTTTAACCATAGAAATTAATTTCGAATTGTTTTTAACAGACCAATTAACTGAGACATGGGAAAAATCATACGATACACCAAAGACAATTTTAGATTTAATTTATTCCTCAAAATTTGAGGAATATTGAACAAGTTTCAAATATTTTGTGTCAACCGGGTAAAAGGAAAGTGGTATAAATAAGAACACAAAATAAACTTTGTTTGTTAACTTTAATGTTCAATAAAATGTTAACTATATTATTACCACAGACCATTATTAATTCATGTTCATAAAAATTCATATTATTAATTCATATTCCATGGACCATACAGTAGTTCTTCAGCCTCAGACGAACAGTGGGCTGGTCCTTCTCGTAGAGTAAGTAGTAAAGTGGTTTCAGTGTACGGCCGTTACTCGTCCGTTATGATACAGAAATAGTGAGTGATAGTTGGAATATTCAACTGCATCGTTTGCGTTAGTAATAAGATATTGTTGCAGTCGCTGTTAAAAATGTTTGGAACTATATACGCGATAATATGGATATCGATTAGATTTCCCTGGAATATGTTATATTCTGAAACTGTATTAATCAAATAACAATATTCTATGCGTATGCAACTTTAAAAAATCTATAGAAATATGTTAAACCGTGATGAAGGTATACCTATCGAGGTTAATGGATTACACCATTTTCAGGACATAAAATAGTCGTCGCCTTTTAGATAATATTTAAATATGGTGCATTTAAGTGGTCGAAAAAAAACCTGAGTTTGTATATGAATATGGATAGCCTGTAGAGTACAAAAATATTTACATTTGTTTGAAAATCGATTCATATAGAAAATGGCGGCTTCGTTGGGAGTTGCATTTTCTCGAACAATGGTGCTGTTGATGATTTTCGTTATCCAACTGTTTGAATTAAAAATCTAAAGAAGATTCTTATTTGTGGGTGTATTCTTTACAAAGCGATGTACGATTTCTTTATATTGGTTTCATCGTCTTCGAAATGTGAAGCAAAAACCAACTGCATTTGTACATGAAACAAAATAATGAAATTTTAACTGCTTCGATTTTGGTGTATTTCAATTTTTCATAAAGATTATGCGTCGAGTTCTAAAGAAATTATTCAAATTTTAATAAAGTGAGTTCCATTTGTAACTTCCTGAGTGTTGATTACTTCTGACCAAAGCAATCTGCGTGGTCGATTCTATTGAAAACATGATTCAACACAGTTCCTCCTTGCTAATTCCTCCTTCGAGGAGAAGGACTCGATTGCTTTACTATTGTTACCAAGTAACACGTACATATTCATGTCAATTGTCCCTCAAGCATACAGGAGATCGTGAAAATTCACGAACGGATATATGCGTTAATAGTCAACACAAAATAGCTCTCTCTGGATGCATAACACCCAAAGTGCTAACGACGATGTAGTTGATGTGACACAAAACAAAGCTATGTAGAAAAAAGTGAATAATAATAAAGCAGTTAAAATGTTGTATTATTTCAAACTGTCATGCTTCATCTTCGTTCCAAATAAAATACACAGAGTGGTAGAGAATTTCTTCAAATACAAATGACGGATGTACATCAATCAAAATGCAACTCCATTTTTTCAACTTTTTGGGAAATGAAAAAAAATGTTTTAAAATTCAGATTTTTGAATTTTCTTCAAAAATCAAACCCATGGAAAAAATGGAGCTGCTTGCTTATTGCAACACACCCCTCAAATAGATCTAGCTTGACTCAAAACGACTAATCAGTAGATGCAATGTAAAAGTATATTTAACAACTTCACATTTTCCACTCCAAACAGTCGTAGCTAATAACTGTTTAAGATCTTGATGCAACGTTAAATATATACAAAAAGTAAAGCATTATAGAAACAGAAGTAAATAATACTATAACAATTAAAACGATCTATTATTCTAATCTGTTATTTTCTACCTTCGTTTTGATTAAAATACACAAAGTCACAAAAAAATTATATTAGAATTTCTAAAAAAAAATCACTCATCAAGTGGTAATAAATTTCTCCAAATACGAAATAAGTTTCATCTCTAATGACTGACCAATCGTCGCAATGTAAAAAAAGATCCATTAAAAAAGGAAATAACGAAACAATTGAAAGATTGTATTAGTTCACAGTTATTCTTTACCTTCGTTTGGTATAAAATACGCTCGAGCCCGGTACACAGTAACATTCATTATTAGGTGGGCTTTCGATCGGTTCCGTTCCGTCTCTTTCTATCGCGCGCGCGCGCGCACGAGCCGTCTCTCTGTTCCGCGCAGCTCCGCGTGGATGTTGGCCGTGGCTTCTTTTTCCCTCGGTTTTTTTCGCCCTGGCACGCCTCCGAGCCAACGAGTGATTTTTATAATCTGCTACTTGTTGCACGCCGGCGGCCGGAGTGCGTCCCGCCCGGAAAAACCGGAAAATAGAGGAAAACAAAAGCGATTGCGGAGGCCGGCTACATCCAGAGAACAGAACAGGGTGGCCCGGCCAATGGGGTGGGAGGACGGTTGGGGCGGCGAAGGAGGGGGTGAAAAAAGAAAAAGGCACCGCGGGACCAGCCGACGGACGCTCCGCGCGCGTGTGCGTGCCCGCCCGCGCCTGTGACCGTCGCTGTCCCGCGCTCCGTCCGCCGGGAACCGCTTTTTCGCACATTTTTTCCCCTTTTTTTACACCTCCGGCCCGATTCCAGGAATGCCACGGTGTTCCCAGTGAGATCTCATTCATTCCTACTCCGGGCAAATATTTATTCTTTTCGTTTATTTCATTACGAGTCGCGCACGCGACACGACAACTGAACGCGATTTGTAATGAGTACATTGCGGGTCTTTATGGAAAATAAAATATTTACAAAGGTACGAAAATTGAACCTAATTAGGAATTTATTTTACTTGGTAAAGACGATGACACGAATTCACTTTTAATATTTTGTATATTCTTGCACATTCAAATTTTCTATGAATGGAGACAAATTTGTAGTTTAGACGTGGGACTAGATATAGAAAGGTACCTAAGAAACAACGTGAGACGTTTGTCAATCGAAAAGAGTGATCTCAAAGATTAAGGCTAACGCAACAATTTTTAAAATAAATGGGAATGTGAAATGGAAGTTAGGAGGGAATATTAAAAGAAAGAGTCTGAGAATATATAATATAGAATACTAACTAAGAGAATGTTTATTTAGTTAAATAATATTAAATATACAGAGCTTATATTTATATATACATACATTTTTATCATATTAATAGATCTATTTTAGATCTTCGTGTTGTATCAGTACCCTTTGATCATTTGTTTGGAGTTTGCTAGCTTTCCTTGTGCCCATCTTTCTGTCTCCACATTTGGGACATCAAGAATGAAACAATTCACCATTGAATACCTTTATTTGGAAAATCAGCGTTCAATAATTCTATTGCGAATAGCACACCGCCATTTTAACGTCAGGAATCCTCCCTCGAAATCAATGATTGGTCGTTTGGTGCAGCGTTTTCAGCTGCACGGTGCCGTAATTGATTCGCTGCTATCAGAGAGACGATGTTCGATTATGACAGAGGAGAATATTGAACATATCCGACAGAGTGTTGAAGAGCCAGGAATGTCGACTCGAAGACTTACGGCGATCCCTGTAAGTACCTCGAAGATCGAAGTAGTTATTTTGAAGCCATTTACAACTCTTCCAATACAAGATCCACCTGGTACTTCAGTCTTGACAACTCGTATCTTTTTCTTGTGGGGTTGTTTCGTTAGATTGTAAGTACAATCATTTCTTTTTCGTGTCATTAATAATTGTTAAATATGAGTTGTTTTCTGTATGACCATTTCCAGTTAGGATTGTAAATAACTTGTAAATTTTCGGAGGAAGAATAATTTTATGAAGATGTGAAATAAAATGGCCATCGCGTTCTCCAAATTTAAAACTCTCTGACTTATTTCTGACTTATTCTTGTAGAGTTACTTCGTTAGGTTGTATAAGCAGTCTCTGGCTCTTGTTATTAATAATTGTTAGGTACCATGTTTTGTACGTAACCTTTCGCAGATAGAAATGTAAATACTCCAGGCGGGACAATTCTATTTACCGTAGCAGTGGCGCAGTAATCTGGATTTGCAAAAGTAACTAATAATATTAAGCTGTTCTAATTATTGGATACAGTTTCTAGTAGGTGTATTCATAGTACGCGTGTTATTCTACTGATTGTGCTCTTATTGCAAACAGATCTATCGCCAACTAGTTTTCTCCCGCAGTTTCGCTTGCGTGGATGTCGGTACACAAAAAAATTGTTAGAATTATGTGTACTTCGCATTAGAGAGTAGAAAGTAAATTTATATATACAGCGGTAATTAAAGTGAAGGTATATTGTAACCATTTTTATTTTATTATGCTTTTCACGTATTACAGGTTTATTTAAATCTCATAAATATAGACACATTTTTTGTTATTCTTAGTAGACGTAGAAAATATTTGCATTAGACATTTGGTACTTTTTTTACTTTAAAGATAGCATACTGTTTACAGTATCTATGTGTTAATGTCAAACTATGTTTCAACTGGTGATACTGTTCAATTTGGTTTCAACTGACGATGCTATTAATTAGATTTCATCTAACAAAACTTTATATGCATACAAAATAAAACTCCTTTCAATTTTTTCCTGTTAATTAAATGAATAATGTAAGGTTTACAGGACACTTCCTTATACTATACAGACTCATTCGCACACATCTCCTCGCATGACTGTAAATCGTTAGTCCTCTTCCGTGTTACAAAAACAAGAGAGAGTCACAATTATTTCTCTCAAAAAAGGAACAGTGTATATTTTTAGTTGATGTGGAAATAATTCATATTACACATTTAGTATATTTTTGACCTGAAAAACGCTATTCCTTGTTAATTAATTATTTAGTAGCAAATGTTTATAACGTACATTTAGAATTTTTTTTTTAACTTAAATATAGCGTTCCTCATTCATGTAGGAGTCTAAATGAGTCATAAGGCACGGAGATCCTTGGATCCATAGTCGACCGTTTTTCCTCCTTTCGTCGTTTGAACCCTTATTCTGGAAATGGGAAAGCGCGGATACTACATTAATTAGAGACGGATGAAGGATACACAAAAGTAAGAAATGGTAAATCTTATTGTGTACATAAAATAGGTAGGTATTTTTAATAGACATATAAAATATTTACAATGGACGTTTATTAATTTTTTGAGGTTAAAAATGACGTTCTCTATTAATTAGGGACGGATGGACAAAGGATACGCAACAATAAGAATTAGTCAATCATGTTGTTTGTAAATACGTGTTTTTAGTAGACATATAAAATATTTACATTGCATGTTTAGTACTTTTTTTGATATTAAAGATGGCGTTTCCTCATTAATTAGGGGCGGATGGACAAAGGATAGGAGAAGGTAAGTAGTGGTAAATGGGTGGACGATACGGTCACTTTATGCCCCGTGAGCACGGCGCGCAAAATGGCTTCCTCCTTTTCAGGAATTATTACGATGTAGGAAGTCTCGGTTAGTGTAGTGGGGGTGGAGGTGGAGGTGGAGGTGGCCGAGCGCGGAGCGACAGTCGGCCGAAAGTTTAAAATAGAATATCTCGCGAGTAACTTTCATCGGTCGTCAAAAAATCATGCAGTGTCGTACCTAGTGGGGGGCACGCCGCCTCCCACCCACTACAAACGAAGTAGACAAGCGAAACGAAGGGGGAAGACACGGGGAACGCCGCGGGAACGAACCTCGGGAGAACGAGAAGGAAACGACGGGGAGCGTGGCCCTCCTCTCCGACGCTTGACGGTCCGTGTAACGGCTCTAGGATATGCCAGTGCTTCCCAACAGGTGTGCCGTGATTAATCTGTCATGAAAAATCGCGAATAAGAGAATTATACTTCTATCCTTCTTATCCAAAGGACGCCTTTTTGAGCATACCAGTTATTGCGCCATTGCAAATCGTACATAAATTTCTTGAAAATTAGAAATTAGTTAGAATGACCTGTAATTGTTTTCTGAATGTTTATATATCCTGTGCAAATGTATATTCATTAGAAATTAGTTAGAATGTCCTCTAATTGTTTTCTGAATATTTATATATGCTATGTAAATGTACATGTATTGTTAATATGCACAGCTTACGTCTGTGAATGTATATTTATTAGAAATTAGCTAAAGTGTCCTTAATTTCTTAATCTTTCGTAATTTTCTTTAATTTTTAATATGGATTTCATTCAATATTGAGATAATGTGACATTACAATTCTCTTAAATTTCAAATAATGAAATTTTCGATATTAGTAAAGATTAAAATATTTTATATTTTATATTAATTATATTATTTTGTCAATTTTCATTTCGAATTATTTCAGAATTGAACGCGCACATTTGTTCCTGTGAACTTAAGAAGACTGCTTTAATTTACTGTATTTTCAATAGCTGAATGTTTTCGATAATTTCTGCGTTGAAGTAAACTTTTTTTCAAGTGTTCTTTACCTTCTTATTGTCCATTTCTCGTTCCTCTTTGATATCGCATCTTCATTTAATGTTCAAAATTTATTCTAAATTGCACCAAAATGAAATAAATTTTTTTCATAAAAAACACATTCATTTATTTATTTTATTTAAATTGTAACAAAGAACATTGTCATGGTACAAAATATATAGGATGCGTCAAAATTATGTTAACACTTAAGTAAAGTATAACCATACAAAAAATGTAAACCATTTTCAAAAACTTTAGATGATAACCTGTTAGTAGTTGTTCAAAACATTGTTTCAAACGCTCAAGAGTTATGTTTAAAAAAACGCAAGTATCTCGTTAAAACTGAAATTTTATTCATTTCTAAAACCACTCTTACATTTGAACTTTACATTTTGAAGTGTTCATTCTATTATGAAGATTTTTTGACAATTTAAATGTAAGACAAATTACTGTGAAATTTCTTTATAACGCTCACCCTAATCAGACGTCCATGCTTAAGATCATACTTGCCACTTGGTCCTCGATTTACCTAATGCGCATATCTAAAATGTTGCGCTAACATTCGATGAAAATAACATCTCTTTTATTAAAAATACCCTCGTTAATTATTGTCACTATTAAAAAGGTGCTAAAACTATTTTATTCATACTGAAACTTATTTCGTCACGTCCGACTTGATAAACGTCTGGTACAATAAGAATGTCACGTAGGAAATGACATGCGCCCGTTAAGAGTTAAAATAATCTTCCCTATTTGAAGTGCTAATCAATATGTGCCAAATTCTGTAATTGAATACAAATAAAGTAAAAATAATATTCGTTTTTATTGTGTTAATGCAATATTGCAACATAACTGAAATACATATACCAATGTAAAATTATATATAATTTCAAAACAAATGATCATAAAAATATCTAATACTTTACCAAGTTGACTGCCAGACTAATACTTACGAAAGATATAAGCCTGAACTTCGTTTCTTTTGAATTGAAACATATCTATATTGAATTCAAACTTGTACTTATTTTCACGACTTCGACAAATTCACGAATTCTATGCAGATTTATATTCTCCAACTTTTCATCTTCAAAATAAATGTCTTTACTTCTTTAACACAGCAAAAAACATGTCGATGAAATTTCATTGTCCATTCTACTCGTGAATGCTATTCACGCGGAAAATTGTTATTAAGATATAAAATTTCAAGAAACGTATAAAAGTAAAAATTCACAATCAAGCGACGTTTCGCATCGAATGAATATCAATTACAAATAAGTCAGTGGACCGTGTTTGCACTCAATCATAGAACATTTTCAATTTTAAATAACGATAGAATTTATGTAAATCTATCGCATTTCTTTTAAAACTCATTTTGCATGAGCCACGTGGATTGCAAAATTGAATTGATTAAATTTATCTAAACACAGTATCACCCTTAAATAAACCCAGAAATAGTAGCTTTTAATGTCGTTTCTCGTATTTACAGGTAAGTGTGTATAGTATGTTAATTAAACATTGTAAATAGTTGTAAATAATAAATCTCGTATTTACAATGAAATTCAGTTCAGTTATTATCTCCCCAAGATAAATCAGAGAACGAAAGGATTAACATATTATGCAGGGTGTCCTAGCATCGGTGGTACAACCGAGGTGGGGGTGATTCTACATAAAAAAACGAATCGTAAATAAAGAATAAAATTTGTTCATTTGATGTTTCGTTCTCGAGAAAATCGGTTTTGAATATTCAGCGAGTACGCGTACATGTAACTACGGTTTAGATGGATGGATCCCGATACAAGTCATCTGTCTGTTTATATTAGGTTGTCCTAAAAGTTTCTTTCGTGAGTTGCATTCAATTATTTTCTGCGGCAGTGTTTATATAAATAGACAATCTTATTTCTTAGACATTGATGCTGTAACAGTAATGGAGCGAAATGAATTGTACACAATTTTGTAATGTAACATAAAACATAAAATATTGTGTACGCATTAATTATTAATAAGAGGAAAGAAACTTTTGGGACAACCTAATACATATGACACTTATAAGTAGTACTCATATCATTAGTATCAAGATGATGTGCTGTATTACTCATTTCTGTCTACGGATTTAGAGTGAATTTAAAGTCTGTATCGAGATCTATCCATCCAAACCATAGTCATGTGTACCAGTACTCGCTTACTATTCAAAATCGATTTTCTCGAAAACGAAACCTCAAATGAAAAAATTTTATTCCTTATTTTCGATTTGTTTGTTCATATAGAATCACCTCCTTCTCGGTTGTACCACCGATGCTGGGACACCCTGTATATGTATATTTCAAGATTAATAAACCATTTAGAAAAACGAAACCGTACAAGTGTTTTTTTATTATTCAAATACAATTACAGTCGCGAAGTGATTGTCGTTAGCGTGTCGCGAGGCGGAAGAGGTTGGGAAGCACTGGGATAGGCCACGCGGTTAGGTTCGACTTGGAAATGCCAGAATGTGCGGGCACATGCACACGCGGTGCGAAACTGTGGCGCGCGCTCGATGCATAGTCGCGCGACTCGCGAGCGTGCTAGCGCGTGTGTGCCTGCCGGCGCGGCATGGCTCGGCGCGGCGCTGCGACCAGCCGTTCCACGAGAATTTACCGCCGGTAACTGCGACCAGGCAGGAAGTTCTCGCGTGGCCGAGGAAAGATATTTCAGAGCTTTTGTTGATCACGCCGCCCGATTCCGTATTAGGAATTACCAACGCCACGATTCGATCCCACCTCTGTCCGCAGACTCGCGCCATACCACGGGGACCCTAGGTCACTCTCATACCTCACTGTAATCATCTTCACCTGAAATCTTCGGTACTCCAATCCTGTTTGTTGACTTATGTATTCTCGTATCATAGTCAACTTTTTATTTCATCAAATCTCCATAGGATGTTCTAATTTCTATTCCAGAATAACGGAAGGAAAGATGGCCATCTTCTATCAGTTGACAACGTTATCCAATTACGAATATATACATGTTATAAGTATTATGTAAAAACTAAAAGAAAACGAGGAAAGAATATATTAACTTTGTTAAAAATGAACAATTCATTGTTATGTTTCAAAATTTTAAGAAAAAATAATTTACCCTAGGTCACTCTCCTACTACGCTCCAATCATCTTCATCCGAAATCTTTGGTACTCCAATTCTCCAAGCCTCCGGAAACTTTCAAACATACATTACCAGCGTTTCAATACACCACCGTATTAGTGACTTTTCCAAAAGTGACATAAGTAAAAAGCCACTTTGCTTTGCTTTGCTTTGCTTTGCTTTGCTTTGCTTTGCTTTGCTTTGCTTTGCTTTGCTTTGCTTTGCTTTGCTTTGCTTTGCATTGCTTTGAAGGAATATATTTTCTTTGTTAAAAATGATCAATTCATTGCTATGTTTCAAAATTTTTTAAATAGTCAAGAAATAATAAATTTTACAAACGAAAAACATTAAAGACAAGACAAATTTTAAAACATTCAGTTGGTTATGATGTTGTTTGTGTATAGTGTATAGTGAATTCATTGACAGGGTTTTCAAACAAGTCGATTGATGCCTTACTTAAATTTTGCTTTCATTAACCATTTAACTGCGAGAAAATTTTTGCTGGAG